TCTCTCTCTCTCTCTCTCTCTCTCTCTCTCTCTCTCTCTCTCTCTCTTTCTCTCTCTTTCATATGTATATATAGTATATTTTTGTATTATTTTGGATAGGGGCTTAAAACCTTCCTCTTTGGTTTGACAACTTATGTGCAAAAACACAGGTTTGTTCAATGACCTTTTGGCAGAAAAGTAATTTCAGTGTTAGCCCGTCCAGAAACCTTCAAATTAAATTCTAGAAGGTTCCAAGGGGTAGTCTGTTTATGTGAAATTGAACATGTTATCCTTTTGGGATAAAGCTACTGCAATGTTTGGCACAACACATTTGTGTTTTTCAGTCGGCTGTTACTGTTGAACTTAAACATTGCGTGCTAAGTTTGTAAGTATGATTCACGTCCAAGAGAGTCTGTGGATCAGTTTATGGTTAGATATATAGCGTTCCCCAAGGCCTGCTGCTTGTGAGTGGGCTGCCTGATGTTCTGTACAGAGGGGCGTTGGCAACAGCACGTCTTCAGTGTATAATTTGTGTTTCTGGAAGGAGATTTTTAGATGACTTGGAATCAGGAGGTACATCCAACTGAATCTTTCTTTTGTGGTGCATAACTTTTGCCAAGGAAGAAGAAAAAAGGACAAAAAATTAAGGACAAAAGCAGTTTTTATTTGCAGCGTTTTGTTCCTTTGGCTAGTCTAACTTGCTTATTGAAATTTATCCCTAGAAGAATATGTATGATGAAATGTGTAATTAGGTAATGTAATAGTTTCTCAAACTTTGGTCTTGAATTATCTGAGAAATTTCTAAAGAAGACCTTTTTTTTTTCCCTTGAGGAGGAGGGAGGGCTGGGTTTATTTTAATACTAAATAATGAAGATTATAATATGATATTACCTCCCAATCCAGGTCTTACAGGTCAGTTCAAATACATTAACCCAGAGTCTAATTTGATTGGTCTTTCATGTTTGTAAAAACGTCCCTGTCTTCTTTGGGACCTTCAAAGTCATTTACATATAAATTCTAATCTGGCTGTCTTTAAAACTACTAGGTGGTTAAATTGCATTAATAACTCCAATAAAAACTCTGAATTTCCTAATATAGCTGGCAGGCATTTAAACATGGTGACACTGTTGGCCCCAGTTTTCACAGCAGTGGAGAAGTCAACTGAGACTCAAGAGTCTTGGGTCTCACTCCCAGCATCCTTTGCATGGGGGACAATCTCTGAGTCTTGGGTCTTCAAGTGTTCTTTGTGTAATCTTTGGAAAGTTTCTTAACCTCCCAGTGCTTAGGTTTTTCTTGATAAAAATGGAGTTGGTAGAGTTGGAGCTCTTTTTCTTCAGAGAGCCTCCTGAGGCCAGATACCCTGGAAATAGCTGCTGCTGGGTTAGACTTTATACAAGATGCTGGAGGGTCAAAGCTCAGCCTGCTCCCCATCACTAGGGATTTCCTGCCTCTCTGGGCAACTTGAATTATAATTGCTTCATGGTTTTTCTACACTTGTTCAAATCAGTTGATATTCAAGGAAAAATCATTCAGAGCAATTTAGTAAGTGAATCAGTAGCTTTTGGTTGAACAATATAAAAAGTCCTCTTCAGAGGACTCATCCCCAGATGAGAGGACTGAGCCATTAAATCAGATGGGAGGTGTAGCTTCCACTGTAATGATTTACCCCAGTTGCTGCAAAAGCTTAGTGTCTGTCATAGACTTTCCCCCTCTGTGGACTGATAGAAGTTTCTACTGCTTCTTGAGTCCAATACTGAAATGACTATTGGCATTTTTTTTTTAACATTCTTAGGAACACTTTGGCCTTAGTAAGCTGCCTGGAATGAATTGCCTCGTAGATGGAAATATACCCCCGAGTTCGGGCCTCTCCAGCTCTAGTGCTCTGGTTTGCTGTGCTGGGTTAGTGACTCTCACAGTGCTAGGATTGAAACTATCCAAGGTAAGCACCGTGATGTTAAGCTCATAGGATCTCCATGACAGCATCTGCATTGCAAAGTCAGACTGTCTTCCTCAACACCAAAAAACTGTCTTAACTGGAAAGGAAAAGCCAACATCCGTGGGCAAGTGACCTAATCTGATACGTTCTGCCTGTGGTTGCTCACTATAGCGCTGTTGATAGTCTCAAACCAGCCAGTCAGCAGGGCTATACGACTGTAGTGAGGTACTCTTGGATTATATATGAAGCTTGAGTAGAGGGTGTTATTTAAAAGAGGTGTCCTTATTGACAAGATACATTCAGAGAAAAACATTTTAGGTTTCATGGTTGGGCCTGTTTTTGTTTTGTTTTTTTGTTTTTGTGTTTTTTTCCTTTGTTTTCACCTAAAACGTTAAGTATTGACAGGCAATGGGCAGAAAGTGTAGAGAACAGGCAAGAAAGGAGCCAAATGCATATCTGTTAATACCCGGTATCAGTAGATATTCCATTGAAGGAGGAAGTGCTTACCTTAAGGAAACAGAAATTCCACCTGAGGTCAGAAAGCCTTTACAAGTTTGCGTAAATCTCTAGTTTTGCAGCTTGGAGCAAGTGAGCTTAGATTTAATTAGTACTTGAACATTCTGCTTCAAGTGAAATGTTATTGCAAGTTCTTTTAAACCAGTGATTTTCAACCGTCCTAATGCTGTGACCCTTTAATACAGTTCTTCATGCTGTGGTGACCCCCAGCCATAAAATTATTTTCGTTGCTACTTCATAACTATAATTCTGCTAATATTATGAATTGTAATGCGAATATCTGATAGGCAGGATATCTGATATGTGTCCCCCAAAGGGTTCTCAACCCGCAGATTGAGAACCACTCTGTTAAACCCATGCATGTAAACTGAAGTTCACAGATGGCTTTGGAATAGAAAAACAAAAGACCGATCAAAAAGAAAGCTAGCCATATTCTTAGTTTGTAAAAGGTGTGTTTAAATTTTTATAGTGAAATTTTACATATGGGAAAGGGAGACATAAAAGAGAAAACTGTACTTCCTATACACAGATTTTCCATGGGAAATTTAGCCTGCTCACTGAAATAGTTATTGTTTTTAGTTTAGTTCTGTTTTTGAGGAGAGAAAGAAAAATCTATATGTTAACTATGCCTTCTCTGACACAACCTTTAATCTGATAGTTTATAAGCATTTAACAAAATACCCAACATGAACAGTTTAAGGGAGAAAAGTCTCATTTTGGCTCAGTTTCGATGATTTCAGTCCGTAGTTGGCTGGTTACATTGTTGCATATCTGTGTATGGCAGAATGTGGGACACAAGGCCCAAGGATAAAGCAGACAAGAAGAAGGGATAAGAATGCAAGGAATTAGATACTGAGCTTAGGGTCCATCTAGGACAGAATCAGTAGGAGGTAGGCATTGATTGGGTATGAGCCTAGAGGCCAGCAGAGAGTCAAGGATTCCTTTCAAGTTTCTGACTGTCTGTGATGCCTTGGAGTAGGCATCTAAATGACACTGTGGCCTGAGGTGAAGCCAAGTGTTGAGTGTGAAGAACTTAGGCATACAGAGCCTCGGCATACAGAGCCTAGGCATACAGAGCCTGGGCATACAGAGCCTAGGCATACAGAGGCTGGGCATACAGAGCCTAGGCATACAGAGGCTGGGCATACAGAGGCTGGGCATACAGAGGCTGGGCATACAGAGCCTGGGCATACAGAAGCTGGGCATACAGAGGCTGGGCATACAGAGGCTGGGCATACAGAGGCTGGGCATACAGAGCCTGGGCATACAGAGGCTGGGCATACAGAGCCTGGGCATACAGAGGCTGGGCATATTGAGCCTGGATATACAGAACTACTTAGTCTTTACTTGTGAGCCAATTCCTCCAACTGCCAGGTTCTTTTGAAGATCATCAATAGTATAATTAACTCAGTTTTTAGTCAGGATTTTATGTGTTCCAAGTTATCTCCAAACTCACAATCATCCTGCTGGTGTACAGGCCTGGGCCACAGTGTCCATCTTTTATTGACTTTGGAAGTTTCTGGAGTGGGAAGACAGACTCTGTAGGTAGAGGAGAGGTAGAGACAACCAGGGGACTGCACTGGGGAACAAGAGCGAGCGAGGCTCGCGCACTATTGTTATCTACTGAAGAAAAAGAAGAGTTGTCCGAGAGGTAGGGAAATCAGAAAGGAGGAACGGCAAAGACAAGGAAGACAATTCTTTGTGATGTGAGTGGCAGGGTCGGCTGTACCAAGAGGCCAAGAAGGTACAGCCTTTGTAGTTTCCATTCCAATATACCAGAGATGGGCTGCAGGTCCTATGGGAGGTAGGAAGAGGGGAACACTCATTACTATAAAAGTCTATCAATGAATACAAAAAAGAGAGGGCTCTGTCTAGAATGAGGGCTGAAGTAAAAAACTTCACTTTGATTTAATTAGATTAATATTATTTTTAAAGACTAGTCAAGTGCAGTAGAGAGAATGGGGAAAGTGTTTCATTTTTATTTTTTTAAGGGGAGGATTGGTGAAGCTTACTATTCTTTTTCTGACCCTTGCTATAACTGTCTAAGGGAAAAACAAAAAAAGATAAAAAGAAACACTTGAGCTTTTAGAATTAAATTTGGCTTTCTCTATCTCCCCATTTAAGAAATAGCAGATGTCTATATTTTTACAGTACTATCTGAGCCCAGTGCTCTTATCCAAGAGGGAAGGACATGTATGCCCTACTTCCTGATCCTCTAAGCAGTCCTGACCATACTTGCACTCGTATTTTCTAGAGGAGCATAATCGTAAAGAGGGTTTTGTGGTGGTTGTTGTGCTCTCTTGCTGAAGCGAGACAGAATTTTTTTGTTTTATTTTTGTTTTGTTTTGTTTGTTTTTTTTTGTTTTTTTCGAGACAGGGTTTTTTGGTGTAGCCCTGGCTGTCCTGGAACTCACTCTGTAGACCAGGCTGGCCTCGAACTCAGAAATCCACCTGCCTCTGCCTCCCAAGTGCTGGGATTAAAGGCGTGCGCCACCACCGCCCAGCGAGACAGAATCTTGACTGAAAGGAAATGGTATAATTTTCTTAGTCTTTAAGTGCCAGCTCTACATGTGAAGCTTACAGCATCAGAGCATAAGAATTCAGTGGACTGTAGATGTGAGATAGTTCAAAATCTTCCATTGTGTTAGTATTTCTGTTAGTACCCTGGAGAGAAACATATAGTGCACAGAATAGGACTGAGCTCAATAAAGGGAGTATTATAGAGTTACCAGTTGGGGGAAATGATCTAGGAAGGGCTCCTTGGTGAAGCTAGAAGCCATGCCAGGAGCCGCTCTGGGGCCTCATTGTTGGCATCTAGCAACAAGGGAATGGTAGGGTAACAGGGATAGGAATGACAAAGAGGGTTGTGAATGGGGACGATGTCTGCAGAGGCTCATCTCCTGGGGGCAGAGCATACTGTGGGAAGCAGGGATAACAAGTATGTTTCCCAAGGATACCAGGGCCTGCAGGGATCTGTGACTGAAGCTGTTCCAGCTATTTCACAGTGAGTATGTCCTGTTTCACTGCACTCATTACAAGTGGATGTGGAAATTATTTATTAATAAGCTAAAGATTTCTGGGTGGAAGCTAGTGCAACAAAATGCCCACTGAAGCTAGACTCCAGAGTGAAAGTTATGAATGGCAGCGGTAGGTGCTAGCAAAGCAGGCAGCACAGTGAAATACTCAGGGGAAGGGAAGACATTGGCTTTCCTGATTTCAAGATGTCAGAATGAAGGCACATCCACTCTTTCGCCATCCTGCACTCAATCTTCTCCAAAGCAGGGAAATTAAGAAGCATAAACACAAGTTCTATCTTTGATCAACCTCAAACCACAAAACACAAAGATGGAAAGTAGATGGGAGAATGGTGCATGACTTAGCAGAAGGGAGAAAGGTCAAAGCTAAGTACCATGGGAGGGGACATAGACAGAAGAAGCAAGCTGACTCATCTCAGTCTCAGGGAAGGATAGAAAGAAAGCAGGGTGGAATGACGGGGTGGGGGAGTGTGGTGTGGGGCAGTGTTCTTATTTGAAAACTAGTTAGAACCTCGAAGCTTTGTTTTACCCAGAACCACCCCAGCCTATGTGCACCAACAACTGGTCCCTGGAGAAACACTGAGTACTGAATTGAAGGACCCTGACTCCCAACATAGGCAAGGCTGGAAATGGATTTGATAACTGGGAAATAACATGCTATTTTGCTTCTGAACAGTGAAGTTTCTAGTTCCTGATGCTCAGGTCGGCTCCAGCACACTGGCAGCCTTGTCACCTCACGCCTTACCAAGAGTACCAGAATGTCCTCAGAGGGAACGTGGTGGGCCCATGACATGCAGTGAGACCCTGTCACAGTGATTTCCAAAGCTTTTGAGTTTACTGACTCACTTTGAACTATGGTAAGGCATCCGAGGATAATTAGATTTTGGAAGAAAACATCTCAAATTAAGCAGACAGAACAAAAAGGAGAATACAGGGATTAATAGGGCTGACAATGCTGATAGGAAAGGAGACACTGTGTCCTCAGGCTGATGAGACTATGCTAAACTAAGTGCCTGGTTAAAGAATAGACACCAAGAGCTTTCATATATGGAAAATGTAATCACTAACATAGAAAATTCAATAAGAGGATTGAAAAGTTATCTGGTAGCATAGAAAAAAAAAAAAAGAACAGCTAGTAAATGAGTGAAAAATAAGAAAATGTGTGAATCAGTTCCAGAAAATTCCAACTATTTAGAAGTAGCCGTGAAAGCAGCCACTAGAAGCAACACTGTTCCCCCAGTGACAGTGAATTTAAATGGAGTTAAAACTAATAAGTCTAAATAAGTAATGTAATCACAAGTTCTGTCTTTGTTAAACCAAAGAGACATAAGTAACCCTTTGAGATTTGGTCTTTTGCTATGTACTTTAATGCTAAATACTGTCCCCCAAGGTCTGGTTGCCTCCAGGAATGAGAGAATCTACACAGCACACAAAGTAATGCTATGTGACCTT